CGAGATAAAACAACAGAGAATTTCAACGGCGTGATTTTCTCTATACCCTGGATAGATTTTGGTGAAAGAATTTTTTGTTCCTTCTTATGTTTGATTTTTTATTTAAGAAAAACGAAATTTCACTTATTACTTCGTATGAATGTATCATGAATTTTATTAGACGAATATTTGAACACGTTACAGAGTTATAGATAAAAACTGATTGTGATATTAATTGGTGTTTTTTTTTTCTTTTCGTTTCAAATTTTATTCGATCGATCTCGAAGAGAAAGAAAATGGTACTAAGCTTCTAAATAACACAGTTGCTATATGCTCCGGGGAAATACTATTGGCAAGGAAGAAACACGAGGGAGGGAATCTATTTGCGAGCGACATTGGTGAATCGCGGGGAAGCGACGTGAAAATAGGATATGCCATAGACGTGAAACATCTACGGGTGTAGAAAAAGCGAATTGGGTCGCGGAGGATGAAGGATACCGGTAACTTTAAATCCCTTGAAGGCTACGGCGGAAACTGGTTGCGCGGCGAATATAGGAAGAACGTGGTAAGGACAGAAAATTGGGCTGCCGATGATACTTTTCCAAAACTTGAAATCCTTCGAGGAAATCGCGACCGAAGAAGTAAGAACTCGTCCTCAACGAGCCAAGGGAAAAAGGAAAGATTGAAATTTACTTCAAGAATGATACAATCATCCCAGAAATATTTCTCTCCTTCCTTTACCCAAATTTAACTACTCCAATCATCAAAAACCCATGCTTCTGATCTAACTGAACTAAACACAAAATCAATCTCTCCTCCAGTCTCTCCTCTCCCTCGTTGGAAAGAAGAACATCCACCCGAGTCATCGCCTCTGTTCAAGCCATCGTGCTACGAGATCTACGCTGCTCGCATACGTGGACACTGCGAAACCTCTCTCTCTCTCGAGAAAGAGGGAGAATGGTCTTCCTTGCCCGGAAAAATCGCGCGTGCACACAGCCGCCCGCGCGCGCGCCAATCTCTAATCTCATTTTCCTGAAAAAGGAAGCCCCCCCCGGACGTTATATTCCGTACACATCCTTAAACATGACCGCCTGCAGCGCGCCGCGATCATGTATTATGCATTTGCCATCGTGAAGCGCGTACGTGCGCCACTCCGCGTGCGCCACTCCTCCGCTAAGTGAACCCGCCTGGTTCGCACGCGTGTTCATACGCGGTTGCTCGTACGTGTGTGTGTGTGTGTATATATATGTGTTCACTTTCTCCAGGGCGAAAAGAAGAGGAGAGAGAGGAAGAAAAAGAAGAGGAGGAGGAAGGACTGCTCGGACGACGCAGTCACCGTCGCATTTCCCAAACTCCTTTTCCCAACTTTTTTTCTCTCCTTTCTCTCTCTTTTTCACTCGGTGCAACGTGGAGTTGGAGCAACTCGAAGAAGCGCGTTTCGGGGAGAGAAGTTTCGGGTTTCGGTGGGGACGCGGGCAGAATTTGCGGGCTTAAGCCGCCTTATCCGAGAAGGAATACGGAAACGAGCGGAATAGTTGAAATTTTCGGGTGATAAGGGTGATAGGCGACGTGAAACGTGGCCTCATTGACTTTGACGAGGGGTGGATGGATTCTTTTGAAAGGTGAGGGAGGGGTGAAACGTTCCTTGAGCTTCGAGTCACGAAATATGTGCTGCGGAATCGAGAGCGAATAGGGAGAGGGGACACAAGTTTGAATCCAAATCGTCGTCCGTTTTTATTCAATATATCACCCTATTATACGCTTTTCCTCTCTGAACTTCTCGTAACGGATATTTTTCGAATTATTTTCAGTTGAAGTTAATTCCGAGGGAAATTTTAATTGGCAGAATTTCCGCGAAAATATTATTAGCGACATTATTATTTTCGTAGCGAGAATTTCATTCGAAAGGAATTTTCACGGAAATGTATACATATAAAGTGGATTGCTCTCCTATTAGAAGATACCGATATAATGTTTATATACGCGTATCCACTGTAGAAAGGGATTAGAAATATTTTACGACGAAGACAACAAGGGGAACGAATAATTCTCTCTCTCCAGTTTCGTATTCGTGTTATCCGTTTAATCCTAAGCGGATGTTGCGGACGACGAAACGCGCGAAACGAACGAGATCCATCGAGGATCCATCTTCGGTTAATTCGAGCGCGTGAAAAAAAAAAAAAGAAGAAGCGAAGCAGAGATTGGATACTAGGGTGGAAAAAAAGAAAAAGCCCGTTGTGTGGTACACCTGTGGTAGCCACACAGCACGGGGGGATAACCGTGATTCTGAAACTCGTAAAACACATTACGGAGGGACAAAGAAAGGAGAGTGGGAGGGGAAAAGTTGATAGGGAGCGTTTTCAAAGTCCGCGATAAAAACGTAAATTGACTAAGGACAAGACAAATTGCCTCGAATCGGGTCAAATCCCGGGCTCGCCGCTTTAACAGGTGAAATGGTACTTAACGGGTGTTCTGTCGGGAGGGAAGCGTTGGGAGCGTGGGCGGCGGGAGGAAGAGGTTGAAATAAAGATTAAACGACTTCATGGAGCGAATGAAACGCGAGGATAATTTCATTCGAAAGTCATTTTCCTCCAGGAACGTCGTCCCTGACAAATTGCTGTACAAGTTTAAAACGAGAAACCAATTTTTCCAACGTAATCTCTCCGCTTTTTTTCTTCTTCTTCTTCTTCTTCTTCTTTCCTTCTCTCTCTTTCTCTCTCTCTTGTTTTTTCTTTTAACAATAACACACTGGAAAATGGATGGATGATCACACGGATATTCGCAAATTCGCCAAGCGTGTTATTTCTCGGCGGGGAGAACGGCTAAAACACGTATCCACCACCGGGTATACCGACCCTCGTACAACGCCCGTTTGAAAGGAAACCGATGACAGTCGGTGAAACTCAAATCCCAGGATCCCATAACGTCAATCTCCATTTCACCGGAGGTAGGAACAAACGGCTGCGGCGAAGTTACTCCCCGGGTAAATAAAAGAATCCGCAGAAATCGTAGTTTCCACATTCGATTCTCTCTATTTGATGTACTCGAAATCGTCGATGGGGGGAGAAGTTTCGGAACGTCGAACGCGTAAGTCGAACGTTCTGTCTCGGGCAGAGGAAACCTCAAAATCGATGCTGGAAACTTGACGATCGGCTCCCTCTACGAGTCCACGTTGCGTTTACGGGAGAGATACATGACGAACAGCTGATTGAGTTATTTAGGGAAATGGAACGAACGAACGAACCTCTCGAACCTCATCGTGAATCATTTCCCACCACTTGAACGAATAATGATCGAAATTATAACTGGCCTAATTGTAAATGTACGTGGATAAAGTTTCGTTAATCACGGATTAGGAAGAAACGATTGCTAATTTACCACGTTATTATTTTTTTCGAATTCCGTCGAGAATTTAATCGATCGAATCCTGGCTGGCCGCGCGAGTAAGAAGAAACAATTTTTAAACAACGCGAAAGCAAATCGTTATTGCAACCGAAAGTAGTAAGCACGACATACAGTTTCGCGTTTATTTAATAGCCTGACGCGATGCAGGTTGCAGTTGAGGCGTAATGCGAAAATTATTTTCCCGATCCCCTCCCCTCCTTCCCCACTGTTTATCCACTTGGAGAAGGAGAGTGGATACCGTTCTCGCGCGTGGTATCTGTGCTCTCGTATATAATTAATGTAGCTTAACGCGTACGGTGCATACGGTTGTTTGTTGGCGGAAATTCTCGTTTAAAAAGAACGCGAGATACGCGGTGTACACAGAGTATGGAGAGGGCGTCGCGTTCCCCGTATAATTGTACGCGTCCGGTAAGAATGAATAATACACGTCTAATTTCGCTAATAATAACGCATAGTACGCCACCACCACCTCCGCCCCCTTCCCCATCGGGAAAAGACTGTTTAATATTTCACGTACCAACGCCGTTCGTTTCATCTCCGGATTCCCCGAGCTCCTTTTCCATCAGGATGGCCTCGAGAACGCGAGGTTGGCTCGCTTGAATATTTTTATTTTCTTCTCGACTTCTTTTTTTTTTTTTTTTTGGTTAAAATTTTCGATCCTTTTGAACGAGAAAATAATACAAATACATGTCGATAATTGTGCTCGTGTTTTGATGATCGACGATAAAGATACACGCCTCAAAAAATATCTAATGGAATAGAGTAGAAGAGAACATTCCTCGACAAGAGGAATTAATTTTCCTCCGCCTCCTACGGCTATCTGATTCTAATCCAACGTCCCCGTGGAAGGAACTTTTAACGAGTCGCGATTCCAATCCACGCTACTCGTCGAGGAGTAATTAGCTAGGAGGTCGGGATAGGTAGAAGTGTTTATCGCGTATCTCCAGTCCATTTCGATGAATAATTTGAGATGCAACGATGGAAGAAGAGCGGGCAAGTGGCCGTTCGAGGCAACTCCAAAGACAGAGATTACGTTTCCAAGCTCGGCAAGGCTTGCCGTTGAATTGCAAATATCTCTCCCTTCGCCGTGTACTCGCCTCGATATTAATACAGTGGCTGGCGACGATGCACGTCGGTGATTCCGGTCTTCATTCGCGATGAAATTAGCCATCCTCCTCCTGTATCGATATCCCCCACGAAAACCTATACGATGCAACGGAAGAACCTCTTGAGAAACTTGGCCGGCAAGTTAACCCTTTAGTAGTCGCGCCGTAACTCGAAAGTGGATTACGTCGGTAATCCGCCGGTTTTTATGGATGGATTCGGGATTAGCTAAGTTTTCCACGTGTTTTTCGAGTCGAGTCTTGTTTCGAATCCATCCATTTTTAGATGTTAGTGAGAAACATTTAAATTCCTCTTACGTCATAAAATTTTGGAAATTTACAGTATATTTAAAACATCGGTGCTTGGAAAATATATATATCGTTCACCTAGCTCGAAACGAACGTATATCGAATAAATTGAACGATTAAAAAGCGAACGAAAGGATGCAAAGCAATTAGTTAGAAATACAAACGCCTTTATCTATAGAAGCTCGATGTAGTCGGGAACGAACGGTTCATAACCGGACCCTCGTCATAATCCCAATTCTCTTGGTGGAAAAAAAAATGGAAGAAAGAAATGCTAAAAGCGAGAAATAAAGGTGGATCGCGCGGTTCCGCAACCGAGGCGGCAAATTGGACCGCAAAGCGTGGCCATTACGTGGGTCCCAAAATCCCCGAAGAACCGCGGCCGAGGACATTGTCGAAAATAGTTACGCAATAACCGGGGCGGGATCGAGCCGCAAAGGGTTAACGGCAGCCAGGTCTTGAGGTCCCCGAAGAACCGCAGCCGAGGGGTGGACGTGCCCTCCGCGACATTCTCATTTCCTCTCTCGCAGCCAGCCGTCGTTCCACTCGCGAGGAGGGACAGGATGCGCCGAGTTCCCGCGGGGCGCCGGTTACGTCGCCTCGTAAATCCATCCACCGCGCGAGTTTCTGCGACTCGATACGAACGTTCCAGGACGAATTGGACTGGAATCGGTTGAGCAAGGCAATGGAGTATTTTGCTCCTCGTCGAAAGGGAAGTTTTATTTATGGAGGAATTTATGGATTTATTTATTATTGATGGAAGTAGGCGGATGGGTATATATCGAATATGTATAACCCTTTGCGGACGAGTAGTAGTATTGGATTTATTTTTCAAGTTGGGTTATTCTTGGAGGGATGATTCTTTCGGGGCTTGGTATTTTAATATCGTTCTCGATATTCATCAACTCGATATTGCGCACGAGTGATTTTTCCTTTTGATCGTTAATAGACTGAGGATTTACGCGAAACGAGATTAGGAAAAAAATATGTGTTTGGTGCACATTTTATTTATATTGGAATTTAATTCAACTTTTTCTTTTAATCAGGTTGGATTATATATAATGTAATTAGGAATAGAAGTTATAACAATTTGTAGATATTAATCGTTTTTAATATTGAATTGTTATATACGACAAGGGGGATTATAAATAAAGTGATTCAATCCTTTTTTGCAGAAATGGAAATTAACTTAGCAGTGTTTTTCCACAGCGGTACAGATTTTTCTATTAAAATTTCATTCCGTCCAATATTTTCTCAATTAAAAATTTCCCACTTCAATCTCAACCCCTTACTGTTTTACAGTTACGCATATCTTTCTTTTTTATTCGCGCCAGCTGGAAAATAATATATTTCACGACGCTTAATGAAAAGTTTACGACGTTTATAAATCTTCCTCCAATAAAAACATCTTTCCTTAATAATAAAATTCGAGGTCAAAGAACGGATCGGTCAAACTTGCAAGGCCCTTCCTCGAACCACTTACGAGGGACGTAAATTGAGATCCATCCGAGACTGTCTCGCGAGACTGGACGTCTTAAAAGGAGGGGTAGTCCGGGGTAAGAAGGAAAAAAAAAGAAGAAAAAACGATCGTCGTCGAAACCGGCGCGTGGCTCCTCAGTCAGCCCTCCGAGAACACCCCCCGGGGTGCACATCAAAAGTTCCGAGCGAAAAGTACAAATGCGCTTAAGGAACTTTCCACTCCCCTCCCTGCCAAAGATTCCGCCCTTAGCCGCGAGACGGAATCCTAAGAATCTCGTTACGATATTCCCCTCTCCGCCGATCTTTTGTCGTCGAACGTGTTAATCCACTCGCGAATCCGACAGGGAGGGGAGAGGAGGGGCGCCGTTAATTAAATTTCTTCGCGAGACGACGTCTCTCTCCCTTCCAACTTCCGTTCGACGTTTGCCCGATATTTTTGAGCAAATAGAGCGAGTACAGGGTTAATTCCACGATGCCTGCTCGCCCCCCCTTTTCCGTTTTTGTTTGTCGCCTCGAGGCTGTACGACGAGAAGAGATCATAATATCTTGGAAACTCTTCTCGTAACTCTTCCGGCTAAAGGTTAAACTTTGATTCGTTTCGAAAGACGAATAAGACGAGACGCGCCATTTTGATTAATAAGGAAACTAAGGATATGAAAACCGTGGTAATGAAAAAAAGTTACGAAACTACTTTTACTTTTCGTTCGTTTGGACACGTCTTTTTAATCGTCGATGAAGAACACGTCGATGAGATTCGCCCGTTGAAATCATTCTATGCTCGCTCTTTTAATAACTCGATCCCGAACGTCGCTCCATTTATAAACCAAGTGGGATCCGTTTTAAATTAAATTCGATCTCGCACACGCGCGGTGTACACGTGGCAACACACGGAATACCGTGAACGCAACTGGAGGAATCGTTGTTGCTGGACCGAGAGATGCTCGGCTCGAAGGAAATCAAACAGCAGATAGAGAGAGACAGAGAGGAGAGAAAAAGAAAAGAAAGTAAAGGAAGGAAGATAGGCGGAGACCTTTGCCGAACGGATTATTCCACCCTAAATCGTGTTTTCGGCTGGAACATTGGCATTCGTGGCCGTAAGCCAACGCAGTCAGACACACAGGGGTATGGGGTGGAGGAGGGGGGAGAGGGACACCTGCGTGGGCAGAGGGGTTCTCCCCATCTTTTGTTGCTCGATATTTGTTTTCTTCTCTTCCTCTCCCCATCCTGGAGGGGAAGGGCCTAATGCTCCAGGCGCACAAAGGGAAGTGTCTCGCGTATATCTCGATATCGAGTGGAAAAATCGTTGGAAACTTTCCTCTTTACCCTCCTCACCTTTTAACTTTATATATATATATATGTATATACACGGAGCGTCGCGTCCCGTTCCCGCTAATGAGTTTCGTAATTTTCCTCTTGTTAACGAGTTTTTAATTTTCCCTCTTAAATCTATGAGTCCCGGACCCACCCCCACCAGAGATCCTCGATACTAATATATTTTTCAACCGAGCCGCCTTCCTCCTTCCTTCGAGTTAATTACAAAATTTCTCCTAGCTACCTTCCCCCTGCTTATATTCACTTTTGAAAGAAGTTTCCTTTCAATTTCTTCCGCCATCCTTCGATCTTTCGTTTCCTCTCCTCTTCTCCCACCTATGATCCCCGTGTTTGTATATTTTATCCAAACATGTAGCGGAGGGACACGCGACGAGGAACGCTGTAAAGAACGTATATTTGAGGAGGAGGCGGCGATTCGCCGGAAATTTGAATTTTCGAGAGCAAAACCGGTTGTTGTCGTATATTCGGCCCTGTGCGTCCGGCACACGCGGTGATTTCAAACGAATTAATAGCCACGTCGAACGAGGTTACGAAAAGCGATTCCGATTTTTGTGTTTTTACACGTTTGACGGGTGACGAATGAATTCCGCGAAGAGTAAATAAAACCCCGATTCGGCCGGGTATGTTGTATACGAACACGTTTCGAACACGCCCGATGCGCCTGTGAAATCTTTTCCCTTCAATTTGTTTTTCTCTTTCCGTTCTTTTTTCTGCCTTCTGCCCGCGAAAACACCGATTCGAAACATCGATTTTTCAATTCTGGAAAGGATTCGGATCGGGATTCGAATATTTCTTTCCACCGAATTCGGGAGAAAAAATAGGGGGAGAAGAAGGAAAAGAGAGAAAAGGGGAGAAGAATGGGGAGTTTCTTCGGATATAAAAAAACGATGCACGAAACTTTTTGGGAACATTTACCAAACACCTTTCTCGGTCGTATCGAACGACACGGTTTCCCTCGTTTGGAACGACACGTTCCACTATATCGTCCGATGGAATAAATCCCCGAATGGATCGTAAAATCCATGCCCGCCGCAAATTCCGCTTTTTCAAAGCGTTCGAATGGACACTGGTCACGGATCGTAAAATGCCAACCTTCTTTCCAAATTTCTTCGAGTTGCCTCTCATTTGAAGGATAATTGGCCACGGTTTAACACGGCGATAATCTCGATATTATCGAGGCGCGGACGAATTATCCGATCTCGAGGGAATTGATTTGGCGCAAAGATGGCGAGAGTTGATGATCGGTGAAGGGATTGGCGAATGAATTGGTAAAATTGAAAATTTCTCGTGCGATTCGCTCGTGGAATTAGAATTTTCAATATCTAGCTCGGTTATTCCCGCGAGAAATGTGAAGGATTTATTCATTCAACGTGCGTTAACCTCTTCGAATGACATCTCTCACGTGTCGCGCATTTTACATACGAGATTGAAATAGAACAACGGTGCCAAAGAAGTTGGCCAACCTTTTGTCTGTATATGTAAAAAATGTCCTCGATAATCATTTTTTCCCACGAAGTGGCCACTTCCGGCCACAGTGAGGGGTTGCACGATATTCAAAGTGTCCCGAATAATTTTACGAGAGAATATTTAACATATCCTCGATAATCAATTCTTTTATCGAATCATTACTATCGAAGTCATATTTTTTCGTCTATAAACTCCTCCACTTTCGCCGCAAGTCCTGCAATATTTAAAGAATAAAAATCCATTTGAAGATGGAATGTCTAAATTAATTACTTTTCTACCGAATTCAAAATTCCCATTCACATTTTACATTAACACTTTCTCTTCTCTTTTCTATTTTCCATCGCGAGTTCCGCTTCTTCTTCTATTTCAAGAATAATTATTTATCCGGTTTTGCACGTATCGTTTCTATTCGTAGCGCGTGACACGTTCGAACGCGTGTCGCGAGAATTATAGGCAGCGTCGCGACGAGTATAACGAGCGCATTCATCGCGGCTCGCGTCAAATTTCCCGTCGAGCGTCGGGTAAACGCGTCACCCAGTTGGGAAACTTTGCTCCGCTGGCCCCTCGTTAATAATTTGCGGATCCACCGCCACCCACTCGATCGTCCGCTTCCCGCGATACCTCGGCCCGCCAACTTTCTAAAAAGCCACTCGACGCAAAAAGCAGTTTCCGCGCCGTGCGCGCTCTTGTCCAACTTTTAATAACCGGCTCGCAGAAATCACGCGTGAAATGACCCGTTTACCGTCTCCGCGTTACACGCCTTCCAACAGATTGACCGAGTTCCCCTCTCGAGCGCCTCTTCTCTTTCGCTTTTCGAACGCTTTTATTTTTTCCAATTTTTCTCTCCTTTTCTTTTCTTTTTTTTAAGCTTCGTGTAGTTTCTTCTATGCGAAAAAATGCGGAAAATATATATAGAGAGAGAGAGGGAGAGAGAATTTCGCGGCTTCGAGATTCTGAACACGTTATGTGCAAGCGTATTAGTCGAAGCGAGAAAAGACTATGGAGATAAAGAGAGGACAGGATAAGTTGAGGGAAATCGCGGAATGATAAAATAACCGACGGCCACCGTGGGCTTGACAGCGCACGTGAGAAATGTTATTTCGAACGATTATTTGTCTTTTCCTTTTTTCTTTTTTTTTCTTTTTTCGAAATTCATTCAACAAGATTTGATCGTGAGAAATAACTTTTAACAGACGACGCTTAAACAATAATTTTATTTAAAGTTTCTTACTGTTTCCAAACTGTTTCGAACGATACAATTCTACAATAAAATTCTTAAAAAGTGAAATTAATTCGAAAAATTAATTGGATTTGTATTATTCGTCGCGAACACAAAGAGCCAATAAAATTCTTATATATAAAATCAAACTCCTTATCGTGTTCCCGATCGTGTCACGCAGCACACTCTTCTTCCTCCCTCTCCTCCTCCAGAAATCTCAATGGCCAAAAAGTCAACCGCTATCCCAACCCCCACCGTTATCGCCTCGCATCGAAGATCGAGGCTAATCGCGACGATCGAAGGGGTGGCCACCCCTATTTTTCCCCTTCCCTCGACCAGCCGCAAAACTTTCAGCCGCCATTGTACACGCTTTGGCGAGAGATAATTTATGGACGAGGCGGCGACCGCAGACTTTCCAAGATAGAGGAGGCTCGAGAAATAACAGAGAGTGAGAGAGAGAGAGAGAGAGAGAGAATAGGACGGAGGGGGGAGTAAGTGGATCGAGAAGGTAGGTAACGTTGCCTCGAAGCATGTATCGTAAACTGCTAGAACTTTGCCGAGACTTTGGAAGTAGCTCGCAGATATTATTGAAGCCCTTCAAGATTCCGGATAGACGTGTTCCACCGCTGTGAATATCGTGCTTTGTATGTACAGGGTGTTCCCCGTGCTCCACCATGCGAGGAGCTTGGTGTTTCATCTCGCGGGGAAGAATGACGAGGGCTTCCGCCACACGCGATAAATCACAGCCACCCTTTTCAAAGCGGCCCATCTTCCCTCCCTGACCTCACCTTATAATGCACCACCTCCGTTATTTGGAATATGGGATTATTGATTAATTTAATTGCGTCAACTTGAAGGATAATCATTAAATATCCACGTGGATGGAAATCGATCGTGGAGGAATTTCGGTGAAGATGATTCTCACGTTTCCTAGAATCTTTGCAATCTTTGAAATATATAATTGATAACGATTGAAATTGATTATTTTGAATATGGGACATTGGAAAAAATGAATTAAATCTGATTCGTAAGAAGCTTCTGAAATCGCGTCACTTGAAGAAGTTGAAAAATAAAAAAAATTCTCTATGGGTAGATATAAGTTTTTTGACGAGTACAATGGTAGGTAGAATTCTCTTTAATTACAGCGCTAATAAAATCCACTTGGATCTCTTTTTATACAGTTACTTTTTTACACAGTTCATAGTTGCACCATTCTTTAATTAATTACACATTTTACTCGCAGTTACGTGATTTTCACGACATTATTCTTTTTCAAATTTCATTTCAAAATATATTTTTCCTTTTCCCCGCAACACATTTTCCCTTTACTAAAAATAAAACAAATTTTTATACTTTCGAATACGCTTATAAATAAACGCGATTTATTAGTTCAACGCGAAATTTTATACTTATACGTCTCGAATTAATTATATCTTTTACAACCCAGTGTATGTAGAAAGAAACCCAGGTGTATAATAATACACCTTCTATAAATACCAGCAGTCAAAAGACTTTTCTTTTCCCCGATAAATACCTTTACAAAAAAAAAAAAATCGTACTTTTCAGGGATTAAAAAAAAAAGAAGGCACCCCACAAGCAGAGGAAAAAAACGACGACCCCTGTTGCTCTTTATTCGAAAATTCAGTCACCCTTCACAACCGCGCCACCCTCCAGAGGGAATCAACGATTATTATTATTATTATTATCATTATTATACGGAACTAGCGGCTAATAATAAGCAACGCTTTCGACCCTCGGCTGGTGATGTCCGCAGGGAGAGGGTTCAGAGTGCACACCGTGTATACCGGCTTACGGGTGGCAACAACACCGCGCCGGCGCCTAATTAATTTTCTTTGCAACTTAACTACGCGCCACTGCGAAAACCGGCGAAAATTATGCAACCGCCCATCGAAACTTTCCCCGCTTTCTCATCATTACTTCGGACGCGCCTCGTCCTTCTTCCCTTTTTCCACCCCCTCCCTTCTCCCCAACTCGGCGCGCGGATCTTATGCGTGAAACGATGTCGCCGAAACTTTTAACTTTTTCGAGGGGAAGGGAGGGGAGGTCAGATATTCTGTTTCTGAACGTTCGATCGAACGTTAAAAAAATCCAAGTTCTTATAATAATCAATAATCGAAGATGGATTTACAATTTAAAAGCAGGAATATTATATCGACACAGTCGATCCTTTCGCGTCTACGCTTTCGAAGGTGTTGAAGTTGATTTTATGTTGACGGAGAGAGGTTTAATAAGCTTGATTGGAAAATTCTATCGGTATGTCGGGTTCGGATATGTCGTTAGAACGTGTGATATAGGGAGACCGGTAAAATCGGTGGGGCGTTAAAATTTACACGTTGGACCGTCTCGACGAGAGAATCGACAGGAATTTAGGGAGATAAGGGTCGTAAATCTCGGTGAGTAGGAGTAGGAAGAGGAGGAGGAGGAGGAGGAAGGGGGGACGGGTTATACGAAATATATTTTACCTTTGATTCGAGGCCCTCCATTGAAAAATGTGAAATGCTGCACGCGACTCTTGGCGTCACTGCATCAATCGGTGCCGCTACTTGGAGCTTTGATTTAGAGTCTCCATGTATCGCGGAGATACTGTATCAATTTACAGTATCTCTGTGCAAATATCGCGCATCGTATGCGAGGAGAAAGCACATAAATTTAAGGATTTACCCGCACATCTGTACTGTTTATTCTAAATATTAACCAAAATTGTCTCAAGGAAATGTGAAAAATCATTTTTACAATTATTTTAAATAATCCCCGCTGCGCAACGCAACGCGTCTACGCTTTCGAAGGTGTTGAAGTTGATTTTATGTTGACGGAGAGAGGTTTAATAAGCTTGATTGGAAAATTCTATCGGTATGTCGGGTTCGGATATGTCGTTAGAACGTGTGATATAGGGAGACCGGTAAAATCGGTGGGGCGTTAAAATTTACACGTTGGACCGTCTCGACGAGAGAATCGACAGGAATTTAGGGAGATAAGGGTCGTAAATCTCGGTGAGTAGGAGTAGGAAGAGGAGGAGGAGGAGGAGGAAGGGGGGACGGGTTATACGAAATATATTTTACCTTTGATTCGAGGCCCTCCATTGAAAAATGTGAAATGCTGCACGCGACTCTTGGCGTCACTGCATCAATCGGTGCCGCTACTTGGAGCTTTGATTTAGAGTCTCCATGTATCGCGGAGATACTGTATCAATTTACAGTATCTCTGTGCAAATATCGCGCATCGTATGCGAGGAGAAAGCACATAAATTTAAGGATTTACCCGCACATCTGTACTGTTTATTCTAAATATTAACCAAAATTGTCTCAAGGAAATGTGAAAAATCATTTTTACAATTATTTTAAATAATCCCCGCTGCGCAACGCAACGTTAATTGTCAACAAAGATAGGCCAACAATCTAAACGACCGTTACAAGTCTTTCCAAGTCCCCGTCCAAAAAATATTCATCCACACCTGTTCGAAAGAAAAGATATGGTATCGCGTGTTCGCACCCGAGTCAAAGATAATTTCCTCGAAATATCCTTGTATCCTTGTAACGAAACGCAACTTTTCTCTCCCTCGAAATCGTTGGTTGACCATCTTTAGGTCCCGACCGATGAGCAGCTGCGCCCTTCGAAACACCGTTTCCCGTGACTAACGATGTTTTTTCTTTTTTTATATATATATATTATCCCTAGGAAGGAACGTGTTTTCCAAAATAGTTGGAGGAGAACCAGACGTGTTCACGGATCCGTATCTCGCGCACCAATTAATTCTCCCTTCCATCCAAGGTTTTTCCAAGGTTTCTCCGCGTTCTTTCTCGTAGCGTAGAGAGAATATCCATGGGCAAGAAAACGACACACGTACATAGATTTTTGTGCCGGCCGCGATGGAAACGATTTATCGAGCCCAGGACACGAGGAACCGGCGGCTAACGACCACGTATCCACCGACAAAACGACCGACGAATATCTATTAGCCCGGGGACAATGCTCTACCCGCCGCTAATTACCACCAGCTGCTGAGGCAGCGATCAATTTTCGACCGGTGACTGACTTATCGCGTTTTTCTTTTCTACTAATAAGGGTGTTCTTATACAGGGTGTTAATACATTCGACTATTTTTTTTTTTTTTTCATTTTGAACAGTTGTTGGTTTCGAGAGAGAGAAGGAAAGAAAAATTTGTGTAAAAATTTCGTTTATTATTTATTCAGAGATTTCTTAACGATTATTTGAATAGTCGAGTAGAGTAAAATTGGTGTTGTAAAATGTATACACGCTAAAGAAAATACGAATCGAAGAATTTAAATAGAAATCGGATTTTTGTTCGATTCGAAATTTTTGAATATCGATTTATATTTCGATTCGTAACATCGATGTTCCAAGTGCGCCATGAATGTATTAACACCCTGTATATAAAGGATGGACAACCTCTCGGTTCTCTCGAGAGAAATCCATTTCCTACCCTTGAAGATGGCCGACCGACCCATGTGTCGGCCAATTCTTCGACGTTGTTTCGACCGTCTCGACTGACCCACTTAATTACCAGAACGGCGACAGATATCCCGAGTCCCGAAAATATTTCACAAGATTCTGCTCTAACTTTCCTCGAAGAAGAAAGAGAGCACGAGAAAATTCGATTTTCCACGGAGACGTATATCTCTTCCGCGTTTTTCTTTTCTTTTATTCTTCCTTAATAAATATGAAAAATTAACCGGAATTTATGTAATTTTACTACGAATTGAACAGATTCGTGTGAAAAAAAAGAAGTGAAAAATAAAAGAGAAAGTATCAAATTTTGCTAGATTTCTAAAAATTCATTTCAATTCCAAAGACAGTGATTTTTTTTTAGAACCAATGCTAACTTTTCTAAAAAAAGGAAATCAATTTTGATTCACCATCGTATCATTTCCTTTTTCGCCAAGTTTCAAAGTGAAAAATCATAGAGCGCGTATTCTCGCTTACGAGCTTGAAAGGAAACGGAATTCTCCACCGATCGGGGATAATTCATTCCGCCCCCGTTCGAGGATACAACTCGAGGAACTCGTTAACAAAGAGGCCGGCGTGTTTGCGGACCACGATTGATCGATGCAACCCCCGTTTTTTTTAAAAAACGATGGTTTTATCCCGGGAATGGTATTAAATAAAAAGCGAGTTGTTGTTCGTCCTACGATTTATCGATCGTTCAACAATAAAGCATTTTATAATCTAGATCGAAAATGAAATAATGTAGCGTGAATGAATCAAGCGCGCAATTATTATCGTATTTTCTGGCCCGTTCGTTATTTCGAGGCTGATCAGTTTTTTTATTTTTTATTTTTTTTTTTCCCCTTCTTTATGAAATCGAACGGTAATTTTTAATTTTTAATAATATCGGGAACGAGCACGAACGGCCGTCAAAGCCGTTGGACAATGGGTCCATTTTTATCAAACATGGTACGCTTGTGGATACAAGGCTGTGGATCACACGTGGCTTTAACTCTGTTTCATCTGTCGTTGATCGCGCGACAAAGAGATACGACAGATTCTTTAAATATTTTCGAACAGTGGACACAAGGCTGATCCCATGTGTAAAATGCGGAGCGTTTATCGGTCCGTTGTTTTGACACGTCGTCGCCCCGTCGATCGTCCGAGTTTTCTACCTTTTTTTCCTTTTTTTTCCTTTTTTTTTTTTTTTTTTTTTTTTTACCATTTCCCTCCGACCCGTTAATAAATTACTTTTATGCAAAATTTATTTATCCATTGTGAAACTTGTTGGAACGTGGAACGTTATATAAAAATTGTTTCGAAAATTTTCGCGATTTTTAATCGCGATACGGGGGGGGAGGTAAAAATAAAAAGCGGCGGAAAATATGCTTTAATAATTTCCCCGCGGAGGGAAACAAATATGACTTCCCTTACGTGTGAAATCACGAGAAACCGTCCCTTCGAAATTTGAAAAGCTCGAGCCGATAAAAGCCGGAAAAATCGATATCGCGGGCATTAAACGTACTTCATCCGGCCACGCTTTACATTCCCTTTTCAAAAAATTCGCGTCGCGAAATTCGAGAGAGTTGGAGATAAATAAAAAAAAAAGAAGAAAAAAGAACGAGAAGAATAAATAAACAAAATATATATATATATATATATTTTTTTTTCCCACGATCCGATGGGAAACGAAACGGTACGGGCCGATCCGTCGAAAACGGCAGTTTGAACTCCGGTTCGAAATCACGGTATTAATCGCGACACACGCGGCTCTTTATTGCCACGAGAGTTATCGCTAATCGAGCAATAAATTCCTGGGGACGGCCTGTGAAAAACGGATTTCCCGGCCGCTATTACGCCGGAAATTCAATAAACCGGTGGACGCGGAAAGAAATCCCGCCTCGCGATCGTGGAGAGAGTAGCGACGAGTTGGTCGAGGCCAACCACCATCCCTTCAACCACCTTCCCCCCCCCTCCCTCCACCTTTCTCCTTCTGTACACGGGCCGCTTCGACGTCTAATTAATTTTCTTTGTAACTCGATTCTCCCCCGCAATCGTCAAGGTGGCGCAAAGGTGTTCCCACCCTTCTCGTTCCGCGACACGAAGCGGGCGGAGAGAAAGAGAAAGAGAAAGAGAGAAGAAGAAGAAGAAGAAGAAGAAGAAGAAGAAGGGAACTTTCGCCACTGTCGTATTGCGGATTTAATAAAGAGCCGGGCTGCGAAGTTCCTCCGAAAAACCGACTGAAAGTGAGGGAGGCGGGAAGGAATTTCCTTTTTCGTAAGTAATCAACGCCGTTTCTTTCTCTGTCGCGAACTTTCTCGTCGGGATTGTCCTTCGAACACCCCGTAAAACCGAGGAGGGGGGGTCCCTCGTTGTCGGTTGAACGAAAGATGGAAAGATCCGTGGTGAACGACGGTGGTGGTGATGGTTGTTGATACTTTTTTTCCTTCGTTCTCCTCGGGACTCCTTCGTAGAGGAGGATTGATTCGCAGTTCGACGTTTCAAGCTTCACGAATACTCTCTCG